GCCAAATCTTCACAATGGTTCTCCCATTCAGTCCTTCCATCCCACGGCTACTTCCCTTGTCCTCACACTAAATTTTCATTCATGGACTTTTATGACATGTGACTGGCTGGACTCTCAGGCTTTTATAATTGCTCATTCCAGTCTCCCCCATACCACCATTAGATGAAGCTTCTAAATAAAATACTGGTTTCATCCAGCTGCTCCACCCAGTAGCGTAGGCATCTCAATACCCACATGATAAAATCAAAATACCTTTCACAATATTCAAGACATACAACATTTTGATCTAAATGCACTCACCAGCATCACCTCCCTTTCCAACCATGGGGTCTGGGAGTACTTCCACTGCACTATAAGAATATCTTCTTGACACCTTTCGTGGGAGGGCAATACCCTGGACCCTCTCTTATCTATCCAGCACCAATCCATTCAAGGGTCAGGGCCAGTTCAAGCCTTCCTTCAGTGGCCACTGGAGCTCAGTGACTTCTACCTCTGCACTTCTCTTACCACATATTCCCTACTAGACGCATCTGACCCCCACTCACAGACTGCTTCTCACAGACGGTGGCCTGGTGCCCTAACTACAGTGTCAGCTTCTCAAAGACAAAACCCATGTCTTATATGTACTTTCATTCACTCTGAGGATCCTAGCATGCCACTTTACAGATGGGATAAATGCCAGAGAAGGAGAGGAATTTGTACAATCAATCTAGCAAACAAAAAAGTCTTTATGTTCAGTTTGTACAGAATTCAGTGACAGCCCCATTTCCCATCATTTCTGTTTTATGGTGTTTAAATCCGCTCACGTATTCTCCACAATATCTCTACTTCTAATTCGGAAATTTTCAGATTAAAGAAATCAGCAAAGCTGTGATATACCTCATCCTCTCCCTAGGCTTTAATTATTTTTCTGTAATATTAAAGTTAAGTCATCTTCTTTCACTTCAGAACGTGCTATTTTCTCTTCCCGACGATACCTACATGACCCACCCTTCATATCAATACATCTTTCCCCTGAAAAACCAAGAGGCAACAATCACCACACCTTGCATTCTCTTGTTGGGATGGTTTTTGAGTTGTTCCTGCTGTGGAAGCTGTCGATACAGCTCTGGAATTTCTTCCCAATCAGGGCTTCATCTTCCCAGCTGCACTCTGAGTAGGGCAGTCCCATCCATTTGCAGAGATACTCAGGTTCATTGGAAGGTGCAGGCTTCCGACTGTGAGCTATTTCATGTTGAAAAATGTATAGATCAGGAACCAATGATTAAAGGAGGGGTGTGACATTCTGTTTTATGCAAAACCAATGAAACACCATGTGGCAAAACTGTAAATACTTGGCAAAACATGACCTGCTCTTAAATGCAAAACATTTATAAACAAGATCTCTCACTTACCTGGAAAATCTGTTTGACCCAATGTAGATTTACTTGTCTTCACAGCTAAAGAAAAGCAAAGTAAAACAGAAAGAAAAAAAGTGAGACTTACAGTCCTATGAATAAAAATACCAAATCATACCCACTCAGCATATAAACACACTCTACCACCTCACATCTTTTTAAAAAAAAAAAAAAAACTGCCCTTAACATCCCTCTCTAGCTACCATTCCATTTCTGTTCTCCTTTATAACAAAACACCTCAGAAGAGTTGTTTGTACTCACTGCCTTTATTAACTCCCTTCTCATTTTCTCCTGAGCCCACCCCAGTCAGGCCTGCACCCCACCATGCCATGGACCTGACTCACCAGTGCCACACCTACTGCCAAACTCAAGGATCAAGTCTCGGCCCTCATCGCATTTGACAACATAGCTTCTTCCTTCTGGAGCCGTGGGAATGCCTGCCTTCCAGTACACTTCTCTCTTGGCCCTCCTCCTCACCTCTCTCACTGGCTGCTCTTTCTCAGTCTCCTTCGCTGATTTCTCCTCCTCGTTCTGACTTCCAAAACCTGGAATGCCCTCAGACTTCCTTTCATACCATGTATACTCTATTTCTGGTGATGTGATGAAATCTTGGGCTTTAAATACCATCTGTATATGGATAATTCTCAATTTAAACCTCCAGCCCCAGACCAAGAGTCCTGAACTCCAGGCTCACATGTGCTACCATCTTCACAATATTCTCCACTTACATGACTAAGCAGTTTATCAAACTTCCTAATATCAAACTGAGCTCTTGACTTCCACTTCAAAATCAGCCTCTCCTTTATTCTTTCCACTTCAGTAAATGGTACCTCTAGTCTTCTACTTCCACAAGCCAGAAACCTCGGCAGCATCCTTGACACCTCTTTCTCACATCCCCCTCATCCACACTTACCAGGAAATCTTGTTGGCTTTTCCTTCAAAATAAATCTAGGCCATCTGTCTATTCTCAAGAAATAAACCTATGCAGAAACCATGGTCTCGGGGAATATCTAGCTCAACTGGCATAACATAGTTTATAAAGAAAATGTTCTACATTCTACTTTGGTGAGTAGCATCT